ACTGAAGCTTCTTGTCCTCCTCGTTTGTCCACATTCCTCTGGCGTCCAACAAAAGACGTCCTGCACCAAAGACGCTGCATAAATGTCTAAAGGAAAATATATGATGCGATGATCTCATGAAAAATATTTGCCTGTTAGAAACATATGTAAACGTGGGCTGTGAACTTTGTGGATGGAACAACGGAGACTTATCACAAGAGAAAACCAAAAGCTTATTCAAGACCTACTTTTGTTTCTGTGTCTCGTGTCCTCGTGTGACCTCTGTCCCGAGCGTCCTCCAGAAAACCTGCAGCGTCACCGGAACACGAATGTCTTTTTAGGTGATCTGTGTTTATTCTGACAAACAGTAAAGAATCAATCCTTCAGTGAAGTTCTGCTCTGAAGTGCAACACATTYCTCATTGTGTTTTCTTATTTGTGGACCGTTTTCTTTYGTTGCTGCTGWGTTTCCATTGTGTTCTGTGATTTGTTGTTGTGTTGTGTACTTCGTAGCCACCGTGCGTCCACTGTAATACTCGTTATTTTATATATTATCTGGTTTTATTGTGAAATCGTAACCGGAACATGCATTGCTTTCAGTGGCGGTTTTTAAAGGTGAAAGTGAAACTAAAATGAAAAAGGAGTTCAGGGGAAAACCAGAGATCTGTACACAGCAGAGTGTGAGTGTTACCAGCAGCTCAGAGAAGAATCTGCAGAAAGGAGACAAACACAATGAGCAACTTTTCTTCCATTTATAAACTCTGCCTGCTCACTGTCACCTGCTGCATCCAAGGTAGGTTTACCTTTCTGCATCATGTTAGAAACAGGGGAGACTCCTTCATGTGCAGGTCAACGCTCCATCTGACATGTGATCCAATAACTAACATCCCTCAAGAACAATGGACATGTGACTCCTCATGTTCATTTCTATCTTTTCAACACACCAGGAAGGAACAACTTGGACTTTCAGTTGATTGAAATACAGTAAAACGTGAGTGTGTGTGAGTCATATATGAGCCGAATTTAGCACAATGACCCATTTACTTCATCAAATCTCTTAATTAATTTATTTGGCTCATGTGAGATCACTTTTTTAAAACTTTCAATGTATTTCTGAATGGAGTTTGGTTCGAAGCGTGCAGGTGGCGTCGTGCACTCTGCCCTCTCGTGGTGAAAAATGGTATTACACCAATTTGGAAGCGTGCAGTGGCGTCGTGCCCTCTCGTGGTGAAAAATGGTATTACACCAAGCTAGAAAATGAAAGTAAAGAGTGAATTAAAAATCACATTTTAATAATAACAACACGAATAATAATAATAATGTTGTTACCTGGAGATAATCAGAGGTTTACTGTCATTAACAGTCACATTTTAATATTTTTCTAGAAGACATGATGTATAATTCATTTACACTTAACGCTTTAATTTACTTCTATGTTTTTCATTTCCTGTGACACTGAAACTTCAACAGACTAATTAGTCCATGTAACTATAGCAGGTTAATTCTRTGTTTCACTGGTAGAAACAAGGGGACTGATGGAGTATTTCCATTACACATGACTGTGGTGTATAATATCAGAGTACTGTGTAATCCTGTTAAACTCATGTCATGTTTAACACGTTACTTCTCTTATTTCTTTGTCTTTTTCAGGTCAGAAACAGGTGAACGGCTCTCTGTGCAGCAGCAGCAGCTCTTTACTTCAGCTTCTGTGGACTGAGTCCGGTCACTTTTACAGTTTCAGACCGAACACACATTCCAAACAGACGCCACGTTCATGTTAACACAACTGAATCCAACTAAATCTACTTGAAAAATACAGCATCAGATACGTCGACATGTTTTTAATTGTTGTCTTTTCTTCTGTTGTTTATTTCACTGTTTACAGACACTGATGTGGCAGATGAAGAGACAAAGGTCACTTTCTCAAACACCAATAATAATAATCATAATAATCATAATGATGAAAATAACTCTGAGTTTACTGAGTATAGATCAGTGCTGTATTCTTCTGGAGCTGCTCTGTGATGCTCACCTCTCGTTAGTGGCTCACGTGTGCACAGAAGTGCAGTTTGAATGTGTTGTCGGTTAGATCAGAAAAGCCCTGGAGAGAAAATGATCCATTTAACGTTGAGACGAAACTTTCCAAACTGAATCGCAGCTGTATGAAAGGCTTTTATTGTGAAGGTGTGTTTCATGGAAGTGACGCACCTGTGGGGGACTTCCGGGACGCTTCGCCTGTGACGAAGCTGGTTTCTGTTCGGAGTGTGTTTCCATTCTTCTGCTCCGAGTGTTGAGAGGAAGCACGAAGTAAGTTTGGTTTCTCCATCGTGTTTAATGCGACGCAGCTCGTTCACTCTCATGTGTGCCGTGCGCCATTGTTGGTTCAATACCCGGTCGAGCCAGTAGACGGAGCTGTCGGACCAGTGAACCCATGATCACAGTTGGGTTCAGTCGCTCACCAGCGTTGGTCCAACCAGTGGTCACATGTTCAAAACTCTGCACACGATGAGCACGGCATCGGTCTTTTGTGGCCACACCGTTCACACACTTCACGTGGTTTTCACACAGCGTGCAGTCACTGAACACATTTCCACAACGCGTACATTTTCTGAACAGACAAACTTTACCTCCCAACAAAATGATGGATTGTTTCTGTATTATCCACGAATGTGAACACGCAGCGTCCCACAGAACAAGTCTCCAAACCTTGTATCCGGTCTGAAAAGCTCTTCTGCACCGACATCAGCTCTAAAACAGGAAATCTCAGCTGATAATAACAAACAACTGAAGAATTGAACTTTCACTGACCCTGAAGATCGCAGAGATTAGAAACAGGGATTTTGTGCTTCTTTTATTTCCCCCCTTTTTATCTGGGCTTTTCGCCGTTGTGTTTCTGTTCAGAAGGCTCTTGTGTGTTTCATGGATATTTTGTTCACTGTGAGCAAGACTGTAAAACTGTTTCTGGTCCATCACACTGTAAACAGTGTTTCTACAGTGAAGGGGAAAAACACTGATTAGCTTTTTACTGGAACGCTTTTGAATGTGAACATGACATGTGGACATACAGTTCCCAACCCAGACTTTGTTCGGGCCACAAGAAGGAGACCAGAAGTGTCCCATCGCTGCCTGAAGTGGTTCACATCCGCATGTTGTGTGGTCTGACTGTCTGTGATGGACCTGTCCAGGTGAGTGTGTCTCTGTCGGGGTGTCCCACAGCACATTACAGCTAGTTGAGTCCACGCAGCCTTAAAGGTTCAGTGTGTAGAACTTTGTGATATCTAGTGTTGAAGTGTCACGTTGCAGCTGAAGTTTTTAGAAGTTTTTATCGTCGAGTTTGAGCAACACAACTCAAAGGTAAGTCAACACACTTTGTTCAAGTTGTCGCTCCGTGTCTCTCAGTGGCTTCAGCCTTTTGTAGAAGTTGTTTTCAGTGGTTTCCTCCGTTGTAGCAGAAGAAGTAGCTTCTTTCTTGTGTTTGCGGAGGTGTCTTCGTGCTGTCTGTGGGTTTCTACATCCTGACCTCTGACAGTCTGAACATGTCTGGAGGAGTTTTTAGTCTCTCACTGACACTTATGTTGTGTTTGCGTCTCGGTGTTTTCCTGAAGCCGTTCATTGTTTACACCAGCACTATGTGAATTCTTTTTAACGACCCTGCAGGAAAGATTTAGGTGGAAATATTTCAGTTTCTTTTGGCCGTGATGGAATATAAGTTATTAAACTAATGACTTATATTCCATCACTGCCAATAGATGGATGGATGTTAACCCAAATATAAGAATTGTTATTTAAGATGAGATCAGAATGTGTCCTTTGGATTTACATCAGGAGTCTGTTCTCTCGATGGAGGCTACATTTTACACGACCATGTTTTTACAGTTGCCCAAAATGGACAAAATAATCATATTTTGAGTTTTATTAAAGCTAACATAGGTTCTTCTACATGTTTGGAAGAGAATATACAACTTTCTGTGCATTGAAATATTTCTTTCAGGCCCTAACAGCCCTCATGTCCACACCTGCTTCCCTGGAGTACAGGGGAAATAGATCTCCTGCCCCTCTAGAGTTTTCTCTTTGCACACGGCACAGGGCATGGTCAACGAGACGACCTGGAGCCGCTTCAGAGCTTCCACATTTTTTGAGGCTGAACAGAATAGATGGACAGTGCAAATAAAAGGAAAGACAGTTGTTTATATGTTTTATATTTATTTTAAATGTCGAAGAATAAAAGATATAAAAGCCAGAACACATTTGACATTGTGTTTTATTTCAATTTCATTCCAAACTGAGCAATTGATAACTGTTATGTTTAGGATTACACTGACATTTATGTATGTTGAGTTTGTGTTTTATTTGTGTTACTATTTTTGTGAGCATGTTAGCCTTGCTTCAGACCTGTGTTAACCATTTGATGAATTAAACAAGTGTACCACAGAATGGAAATGAGCCCAGCAAACAGATGAAATAGAATTAAACACCATTTTAATTGTGTGAAGTTAAAAACATTTGATCAAATCAACAAAACATAAACTATATTTGCTTCTAGTGGGAATCAAACCCACTCCCCTGTCTTCTGGGGGCGACGTCAGAATCAGCAGCAGAGATCCTGCAACAACGGAACGCTGCTTCATTTCTAGAAGACACACGTGGACCACAAAGTCATGAAGCAACTCTGGACCTTTATTTGGAGGATTATCCATCTGAGTCCTGCATTTTATGAGCAAGTCTTCGGTAAGTTGAGAGAAGTTTCCTCTTGCATTGTTTCCTTACTTTTGGTGTCTTTAAACAAACTCAGACTGATCAGAAGTGTAACTCAGCTTCAGCACTTGCATGTGCTCCGTCAACTGAGCCATGTAGTGAGTTGTGAGTACAGCAGAGAAGCTCATTTTGAAATGAGTATTTTGTAGGTTAGGACCGTTTCTAAAAAGCACTTACAAGTTATTCTCGTTGTCTTTTGTGTGGTCAGTTGTTTTGCAGCGAGGAGCATTATTGTGAGTTTGTCCTCCTCTGTACATCTTCACTAGAACCTTAACTCCACTACAGCTGTAGTAATGTTAGAGCTGAACTGGTGTTGAAGCTGAACTAATATTACTGTGTGATATCAGTATGTTGTCCAGCTGCTGAAGGCCCACTTGACAAAGACAGATGGACTCACTCGTCTAGTTTGTTTCTCTTCTCAGTTATACTGCAGTGAATCGTTGCCGTCCTAATCCTCGTGTAATAAAGCTAATATTCTCAACACAGGTTTATTCCTCTGCTCCACAGCTGTCTTTAGAAGTGGTGGCCAAAGGACACTCCACCTACTTTTGACTCCTCGTCTCATGTTGCTCGGTATGTATTCAGAACAAATATCTTCTGTTGCATATCAGATGTTTTTTTTAAAGTTATCTGTATTAATAATAAACGAAGCATGGATTTTCTTTCTATTAGAGATGTTTGCAAAAGTCAAGATGCTTTTTGAGTCTTGATTCATGTCTCAGGTGGAAAAGTGCCTTTGACAGCTGGACACTGGATGATCAGCCTTGAGGATCGTATGTGGGGGGGGGGGTCCACTCAACGTTTGTGACAGGGCTTTCTGCTCTGTTTACAGATTGAACATCTTTAACTGGGAAGCTGTCTGTACAAGGTAAGGCTTGTGCTGTCCATCTGTCAGTTTCTCTTTTTTTCCAAAATGTTCTCATGTATTTTCAACCCTTACTTCATAAACACTTGATTGTAGACTTCATATATCACAGACTTTATTTCCATCCGACCTCTGATCTCTTGTGTTCTTCTGTGTTTTGTAGATGCTTCTTTTGAATCAACCCAGAAAGAGGAACAAAAGCCGTTTGGGGGAATCGTCTCCAAGAGGACAGGGAGAGTCGTTCAGAGTGGATCTCCATAGGTCAGTGAGAGCTCTCTCCCCAGACACTTCACATCAATGCAACCATGGTTCTTTGTCAGTGTTTGTCACGTGATCATATTCTTGTTCTCCTGTCCACTAAATGTGAATCATTTCACTTCACAAATGTCTTTTTCCTGGAAAGAGTCACAGGTTTGACCAAAYAGGTTTTTCCTTGCTGCTCTTACAGGTCAAATCCACATTTGTTTATTCTCTGGGACAATAATGAACATTTGAACTTTCACAGACGTGTTCAACTTTTCTACACATTGAATCACAAAGAGACAGAAATCCAAGAGAGTATCAGGGACTTTATTCAAAACTCAAGTACAAAAGGAATGAAACAGCAAAGCAGCTTCATTTAACATTCATTTATAAAAACCCAACACGTCAACGTTCACTTTCTACACTGTAAAAATCAAAACTTGGAATTGCGTCACTGCGATTTCTAAAAATATAACGAACAAAGAAAATTTAATGGATTTGTAAACGTAGTAAAAGTATTTTCTTCAAATAACTTTACTTAAGTTATAAATTTGTAAAGTTGCTGAATTTATGACGGCAAAACACAAAATAGTAAGTTTGTGATGTGACACCTCTCACGTCTCATCAGGGGAAACGTGGCCTCACGTCATGAAGCTGAGTGTTCAGGTTGAATACAGGACAGAGATTCTGGMTCTGCAGTTGCATATGTTGGCGGCTGTGGCTCAGGAGGTAGAGCGGATCGTCCACAGACACGAAAA